AAAGATAGGATATCTCGTAAAAGAGATTAATGAGTATTTTGTCTAATATATTTGAAAAGACGAATATATTGTCTCCTCGTTAGCTGGCACGGTTCGTCTTAATTTTTTTTTTCTTTTCTTTTCTTTTCTTTTCTTTTCTTTTCTTTTCTTTTTTGTCATCGTCCACTCTTTGCACTCAAGCACGCGTACGTTTCTTCTCGTTTCTCTCTCTCTCTCTCTGTCTCTCTCTTTTTTTTCTTATTTTTCTTCTTCATCTTTTCGTTCAGCTTCCGGTTAAGAAAAAGCTAAAAGAAAGAGAGAGAAAGAGAGAGAGAGTCTACATACAAAAAGTTTCTCTTCTGGCATGGTTCAGACCCTACACCTCGTCTTGAGCAACCCGTCTCCTCCGCCCCCTTCATTCTCGTTCTGAACGAAGCCTCTGGAATAATCGCTCGACATGGCGTTGCTAATATAAGACGAAGAATACGATCCTGAAGCCTTGATAGCGCCAGCGGTTCCTTGCATTCCAACGTTTATTTTCCAAGAAGCAAATTGGATTTATGTTATCTGTGCTCATATTAAGCATCTGAGATTTAACACTAACATTCGAATTTCCCTGAATCGTTTTGATTTTCTTTTTTGTTTTATCTTCTTATTTTCTTTTTTTTTTTTTTTTTCATTTAAATTTAAAATTAATTTTTCCAATCAAATTCGATCAATTTCAAATATGCAGAGTTAATTGGAGTCTAGTGTATTAATTTTGAGTATTATTTTTATTGACATAGTCAAGTATTATTTTTATCCGTATTATTGCATAGGTCCTAGTAGTCCTCCTTTTCTTAAAAAGATAAGGAAAAAAAACAAAAATAGAAGAAAAAAGTTTTCATATTCTTTGTTCAGTCATGCATTAGGTTCTCAACACTCAGTAATGGAAAGATAGGATTACTATGCGTAACAAACGCTCTTTTTCGTGCGTTAACGACGTTCGTTCGCGGTTTCAAATGTCTTTTAGAATGACGTAGGAAGATAAACGGGTTACCGCTGAGAAGGTACAAACTCGAGTTTCTCTCTCTCTCTCTCTCTCTCTCTCTTTCTGTCTCGTTATATACATAGTGGATCGTTTCAAAGGGTTGCTGCCATCGTTATCTCTCTTGCAGCTACTTCTATCTTTGACGACTGTCATCGGTACTCTGCTTCGTCGGCAACGAAACGAAGTATCATATAACATTTGTCTTTATTTAGTTCAAGTATCGTATCTAACACTTGAATCTCCTTTAGTAGATAATATTAATGATAATAATGATAATACGTGATATCGTCATTCTTTTATTATGTTATAAAAGTTCTAAGAAATGTTCGTAAGACGAGATCGATAATGTCGTTTTTATTCTTTCTCTTTCAAGAGAGAGAGAGAGAGAGAGAGAGAAAGAGAGAAAATATAACTGACAGAGAGTGAATTTTTTCGTTTTTATCCTTGAAAAGTTAATAAATTATATATATGTATATATATATATATATATATATATATATATATATATATACAATCAACATTTTTATATTTTACTATTGGAATTTTTCTATGATCTAATATCTAGTTGAGAGTTTATTGCGAAATTAGATAATAAGAGGATATGAAGTAAACGAAGCCGATGGAAAGAGAATGGGGGAAAAAAATCATAGAAAGTGAAAATGAAAATGGGAAAAAAAAAACAAGGATTTTCTGACATTCCGAAGAGTCCACTCTTCTTTTTATTATTGATAATAGCTATCTTCTTGTATCGAGATTCAGAAAGTAATCTTTCATCACCACCATCTATATATATCATCATCATCTTTATCATCATCATCATCATCGTCATCGTCGTCGTCGTCGTCGTCGTCTTCGTCGTCGTCGTCTTCGTCGTTGATGAGAACCGAAACACATTCGAAATGGATTTCTGCTTCTTCTTCCGTTCTTACTTTCTCGACACTTTCCCGAACACTTGGAACAATGGAGCCACGAAAGCCTGGGAAGTCTAATTGTTGCTGAACGAAACGAACGAAGACACAATTCGCACGCTCGCTTGGAAATTTTCTGCGACTGGTCGAAACGGTACGTGTATACACGTGTATATCTGCCTACACCTACCTACCTACCTACCTACCTACCTACCTATCTACCTACCTACCTACCTACCTAACAAACTACCAATACCATATACGTATATATGATAGGTATATTTAACGAGAGAACTTTGCACGGTTTTTCAAAGGCGACGAAGAGTTCGCGGGGGGTCGTGTGAGCAGCCCTCCCGTCCTCTTCCTTGTCTTTTTTTTTTTCTTTTTTTGTTCTCCTCTTTCTAAATCGTCACACGACCCGGTTTACATAACTTCCAGGACGATCTCTATATAGAGTTCTCTCTTACCCAATCCCTCGCTTTCATCTCATCCCTATTATTTCTTCTTGCTTGAGAAAAGGAAAAAAATTATTCTTTTAGATCCTTATATGATTCTCTCTTTTCTCTCTCTCTCTCTCTCTCTCTCTTTCTCTAATAAATTCTAGATATATCTTTTAAATTGATAGCTAATTTATTTATTTATTTTTTTTTTCTTAATTATTAGTAATCATTGATAGTAAATTTCATCCTGATCTGATAAGAGTCTAACAATACTTTAGATCGATAAAAAATTTCTAATCTTTAAGAAATATTCGTGATATTAAAAACATTTCGCGGCAATGTTAATTCAAATCGTTGGTAGTAGGATATATTTCGAAATAAACTACAACAACGAGAGATTCCTGATTCGTCTAAGGAGTAAAACTTGTCTTCCTCGATCATGAACATGATTTGGAATAGAAAAGAAAGAGAATTAGATTAGAAACGGATCCATTTATGATGGAATGCAAACGAGCGCGAGCTATTAAATAATAGAAGAAAATGGAGTATACAATGCTGATCTCTTGGAACGAGTGGAGGCGGTTGTATCAGCATAGAAATGGCAATGTGTGCATGTATGTATTATATGTTGCAATTGTAATTGCACTGCCAGTCAACGTTGCTCTCTCGTTTCTTATTCGTTGACTAATACGAAGAAGCTTGTGTTTTCCGGTTCCATGGACGCATCTATAATTCTTAACTCTATCTTATTTTATTTTATCTTATTTATTCATTTATTTATTTATTTATTTGAATATTTGTTTGGATATTTTTCATTTAAAAGTTCGTCCCCTCTTTTTAAGTTATGAAATTAATTCTTTTTTCCTTTTCTTTCGTTTCGTTGTTTAGAATAAAACTAATGATATGAATTAGAATAAAAATTAATATAGCAATGTCGACGTAAGCGGATAACGATTTTATTATTTCACAAATAGAGTCGAAATACCGTTGCTGCAACGGTAGATCTAGAATGAGAAGCACGTTTAATACCGACCTACTGTATTTGTCAACGTGTTGCATCGTCATAGTCCATCATATTAAGAAGTCAAGCAAATGTCAAAGTATTATCGGAAATGTATAGATACTTGTTTTTTATTTTTATTTATTTATCCATTTTTTTTTTTTTTTTGAAGTTACAAACTATCCAATGGCTTACTTCATGTGAAGCAATTATTGAACAATGTCAAGTAATATATATATATATATAAATTTTCGAAAGTTTTGGATAAATAAGAAGAAAAGTGGATCGATCGATCGATTTAGTTAAAGATCCGTTCATGATAGATCTTTCTTTGATGAGAGGACCACACAGGAGATATAATGTTCTTGGTTTCATTGAACGAAGTGGTCCAGTCGTCGCATGTTAGCAGTCATCAAAGTGGTTGACAATTGACACCGCTTTCCGGTCCTCCTTTCGCAAGTACAAAGAGGAAAAGGAAGGGACCGAGAAAAGGAGGAGGCAGCACGTGCCCACATGTTCACGTATCGCGTGCCCTCCTCTACGTGTTTCTTGTATGGTCTTCTTCTCCTTTTTCTTCTTCTCCTCTTCTTCTTCCTCCTCCTCTTCCTCCTCCTCCTTCTTCTTCTTCTCTTCATCCCTCGCAATATGTTCTTCCTTTTTCGATAGGGAATATAATACGATACTTCTCCTCCTTTTATTGGAAAAAGCTTCCTTCCTGACGAGAAATCCTCCTCTTGTGTTCATCTTTGCATTAGTTAAGGTCTTTTTCTTCAAGGACACACATGGCTTCTTGGCACGAGTCTTTCGAAAGCGAAAACTTTTTTACTTTAACGCGTTTCTTCTCTCTGTCTCTCTCTCTCTCTCTCTCTCTCTCTCTCTCTCTCTCTCTCTCTCTCTCTCTATCTTTTCTTTCAATAGTTACGTACCCACTAGACTCGACACAACACGACACGACACGACTATTAGTTACGCATGTTAAATTGATGACTTTCTTTCTAAATCTTTCCTTTTCTTTTCTTTTATTTTTTTTTTTTTTTTTTTTTTTTACTTCGTACTAGTTCGTCCTGTCGATTTTAATATCGTCAATTTTTTTGTCTAACTAAAATATTTAATCGTCAATTTTTTTGTCTAATTAAAATATTTAATCGTCAATTTTTTTGTCTAACTAAAATATTTAATCGTCAATTTTTAATATAATTGTTGTGAGTCAGTGTCAGATGTTGCAAAAGATTTTCTCATGAATTTTAACTCGATGAGATAAACGAAGTAAATAAACGTAAATTATCTATCTAAATTAGCTTAACATCAATCATATGCATGATAAATACTCGTCAAATTGTATTAGGTGTTTCTGTAGAAAGAGATTATTATCGTTATTAGTAACATTGATTAATATATAATGGCGATCTTGGAGATATGTCTTCTTTGTTTTTTTTTTCTTTTTCCCATTCGATTTTCTTATGATGACGATTAGATATGTTTCTATTATCGAACGAAATTATCTACGATACGATAGTGAATTAGTAGAGGTCGGTGACAGAACATAGCAGGTTCGTATAATTGGTCCTTCCTCTGCTGCTGATTGTTTTAAACGAGAACAACTCGAGCAACTTTAAGTCCCCTGTTACCACCAACACGCGCGCGCGATTATTAGCGGCACACAGAGCGACCGTGCGTGGAACGCTCGCATCCGGTTTCTCCGCTATAACAATGCGTACGATGCCGACATTTTGCTTCCATCCCGTCGATTATATACATACAATTCTAATCTCTCGTAGGAACGATACCGCTTCGTGTTTTTTCTTTTTTCTTTTTTTTTTTTTTTTTTTTTTTTTTTTTTGCTCACTAGAGAAAAAGAGAGAGAAAGAACTTTCGTGAAAGAAAATCGATTAGAATTTTCATCGTAAAATTTTTCTAATACTTTTAAAAATTTCAAGTATTTGATAGTTAGGGTTAAAGATCGAAAGGATTGAATTTCGTTTGTTGTGTACTAAATAGTAGAGTAAAACATTTTTGTTTTATTTATTTTTGTGTCTAGACAAGATACGTGATTTCACGTGATGCCTATTTACAGCTGTCGTACAAGCCGTAACTTACGGAACCACTTGAAACGTTCAGAGCTTGTAAGCTTCTGGACATCTTGTATTTATATCTGTTTATATGTATATATACATACATGCATATGTGACACGCGTGCCGAGAGTTCTATTAAGGCCTCTCGTCGGAATACGAGATCTTTTCGTGAGTACGAGACAAGGAAATGTTATAGTAATCGTAGGTTATGGTTTTACGCGAATCATTTGATTTAATTTCTTTCATAGATCATGGAGAAGGAAGTTTTTGGAGATTTTATTGAAGATTTTTTTTTCTTCTTACTTAAAAGTCATACGAAGATTCTCTCGAATTTTTTTTTAATGCACTACAATACAATGTGCACAAGTTTTACGATTTTTCTGATTGTTATTTTCTTTTCTTTCTTTTTTGATCTTGTGCCTAGTGAAATAAATTTGAGGAAGTCACGAAAGAAGATTAAATCCAAGACGGTCACCGTATACATGCAAGATTACACGTACTTCATCGTCCTCTTCTTTTTTTTCACGTTTCTTTATCTTTCTTTTTTTTTTTGTTTTTTTTTTTTTTTCTTTTTTTGTCGACTTCTTTTTATGGTTTCGTCGGGGCACGTCACGGCAGGGCGAGCGCAAAATCGCCCTTGTTCTCGGTCGACGGCATCCGAGAATCGTCGGAGGACGCACACCTGACTGCGGACGTCGTAAGCGAGGCCGATAAGGTCTCGGCAAGGGCAGTTTATCTCAGTATGTAATAAAGGGGAAGGGTACTATATACTAACGCAGTGCTTGCATGAATAATTCAAAAGAAGACAACGAAGGTAGCCAACCGAAACGAAAACAATTGGTTGCATAAAATATTAAAGTTTAAATTCTTCTTTTTCGTTTGATTCTTTTCCGGTTGAATTAATTTAATTAATTATTTAGTTAATTAATTAATTAATTGAAGAACATTGTATTGAAAGAAAATCTTTTTTCCATCGACTAAACCTACGGGATATTATTTACTGCTTATAGGTGAAAAATAAAATGGACGTCATCTTGGTTCGCCGCTGTTATGTCTCATTTAACCCGTCCTCTTAACTTCACTTGACCAAGTGTCAATAAGTCGCGAGGCTACAACGAGACCAAAAAATTCATCCTCCACGGAGAGAAAAGCTCGACCGAGTTTCTTCTTCGTCATCTTATTCGGTGATCGAGGTAATTTCATTTTTTAACGTCTTAATCGACTATAACGAAACGTAGTGATATTAAATTCGTGCAAGATTTTTGACGAAAACCAATTCCCTTTCTTCGTTTTACGCAAGTATTTCTGTATACCAACGAGAGTATTTCCTTGAAGACACATGATTCACCTCGTTCGTCAGTTCCTTTCGAATTATCCTTTTAATCATCTCTTTTAAACGACTCACGATAGACAAAGAAAGGTCATTATTCCTTCTTTGCGAATGACGTGTGCGGGATAGAAAATTTTTTGTCGTAAGAAACAATAGAGATGAAAATTGATTTTACGCAATATTCTTAGATGCTTGGATCGTAGGAAAAAAAAATCTTCATTATCATCATCATCATCGTCAGCAGTATCAGCATCAGCATCAGCATCAGCATCAGCATCAGCATCAGCATCAGCATCAGCATTAGCATCGGTATCGAACGACGTTATCGGTTTATTAGGCAAGATTCTATTATTACACTCGTAGGAGTTGATGCTTGTCCTACGCAGGTGCAGTAATGCACCTGCACTTTCGATCGTAAATATTAATGCCTATGTATAGTCTGTCGAACCCTTCTTTCTCTTTAGAAGAGTTAACCCTATTTTTAGGTTTAAGATTTTCCCTCGTCGAATTTACCATCATAGCAATAATAAGTTTCTCCATAAGAGTTCATTGCACCGGAAGTTTCCTGGTAGTAGGGAACGTTAACTCTTTCATCGGAACTCTCGAATTTGAAACTCTGAACAAGAATCGTTTATCTTGTATGATCATTCATCGTTCAGTTTGTTCCCATTTCTGAAGTACCAGAGTAGATTTGTTCTCTCTATCTGTATATCTATATATCTCTTTTTCTTCCTATCTTTTTCTCTCTTTCTCTCCAGATATCTCTCCTTCTTTCTCTTTCTCACACGATGATCAGTCGAGAGAGAAAGTTGTATGATCGAGACACCCGTTAGATTGCAGTCCGAAAGAGATACGCCTTGGTGCTGGCGCCGTGCCTATCATTACGTTGTTTAACTCATAATACATCGTAACACGTACGCTACCGAGTCTTCTCGTGTATTACGAGCGTTTACGCGTTTCAACGGGCCATGCATACTTACATACACACATTTGTATATATATTGTATATATATTTATATATGTAGTAAAGAAAGAGGGAGAGGGAGCAGGAGAGAGAGAAAGAGAGAGAGAATTATGTAGTGGGTGAGAGAAGCGTGAACACCGACATGGTACACTGACCGTTCTCACACGATATCACAACGTATACTATGTATGTACATATGTCTAATACTTTAACGAAGATCGTAGACATAATGAATACAATCACTGTCTATCTGTCTTCTTCTATGCATTTACTTTTTTTCTTATTTCATTACTTACGAACTGTTTCTGTATAGATTCGTATATATACAATATGAAATCTCTGTATAGATTCATATATATATATATATATAAAAAGAAATTATTCATTTGGCAGTATTGAAAAAAATGATTTTATGAATATCAAATGCGTAATTGTATTAATACGTTGAACACGAGGATTGGTTATTGGATGATTGCTATTCAATTCGATGAAGTTCAATTAAAATATTCTTTTTAGATTTCATTCGTAACATTTAGTTAGATTTTTAAAAGATATACTTTCTAATAATAATATTAATTGTTTTTAATGGTCAATATGTTAATGATTTTCTTTTCTTTGTTTTTTCTTCTTTTCTTTTTTCTTTTGCTTTTGTTTTATTTCCTTTCTCGAATCATATATTGATTTATAAATATATATCAATATATTTATAAATATATTGATTTTGATTTTGAAGAAGATATCTGAGAAAAAGAAAACATAGAAAGAGAAGTTTCGATGATCAGGATATGTCTATCGTTTATCCACACAAATCCCTTCCGGTCAACCCACTTTAGGACGAAATGCGATTGCATCGAAGCGAATGAGCAGCAGCCATCATGTATTTGGTACAGAGGACACAGATCGAACTTCCGGCTGTCTCGAACCCTTCGTTCTTTCTCTATCTTCCATCCGGTCAGCCTTTGAACGGGCAGCGAAGAGCAGAGACACCACAATATTCTATGGATCAACGGGTCATACCCTATTAAGTTCGATCTTGTTACACGCGTACGTAATAGTAGGTACGACCCTTTACGCTTCCTCGTCAGATTTAGAATGGGTGGGAGGTGTCTCTCTGACCTTGACAGTCTCCAACAGGAAACAGATACGATTGATATCGTGTTCATGAATTTTCATTGGTCGCAACGATCATTCTAAAATAATCTTTCGTCATTGTAGTATTTCGTGATGAATATGATATCACGTAAAATCTATGAAAATGTGTGGGTGAGGTTTACGCGTATGACATTATTTCGTTATATAATTTATAATATTTGCCTTTTAGCCCTATAAGAGTAAACTCGGTTATCAAACAACGGACATATACTTGAACGCTGAGTTCATTGATATCGAGAAGAGATAGAATGGGACGCGGCGAGGAAACGATGTAGAAAGAGAGAGAAAGAGAGAGAAAGAGAGAGAGAGAGTGAGAAGAGGGAAGGAGAGGTGGAGTCATCGTAAAAGAAAGAGTCAATGGGACCACTGTATGCCAGATGGTCGGAGCAGCCCTCTAGATATTATACCGTCGGACCTTCCAGCATTTACTTACTATTTCTTAATGACAAGAAAAGATTCGTTTCACTAGTGTGTATCATAACTATTCGATGGAAATAGGTATAGAACAAGATCTCGAATAGATAAGAAGATAAATTAAAAGGATATATCGTTCACTTTCATTTTTTTTTCGTCGAATTTCTATTCAAAAATCGTCTAGGCTATTTTGTTAGAATTTTTCTGGATGTGGAATTTTAAAGGGTCTCTTAACGGTACATATGGGTTTTCTTGCTTCTTCTTAGAATAAAAAAAAAACCCCCAGGGAACATCTCTCGTAGTAGCAGGTAACGTTGAGAATCGAAAGCAGAATAGAAAACGTTGGGTGATGCTAAGAAAGAGTAGAGAGAGAGAGAGAGAGAGAGAGAGAGAGAGAGAGAGAGAGAGAGAGAGACCAAGGAAGAAACGAGATGATTAATTCCTGCGGTCGAATGAGTAACGCGAGACTCTCTAGGATCCTTCTTAAAGACAGAAAGTTTTTATCTCGTTGTGGCTAACTTGTCTTGAGGTATCTACACGTTAACTCGCGAATAGGTTACACACTATTACTGTTACTATTATTATTATTATTATTATTATTATTATTATTATTATTATTATTATTATTATTATTATTAGTATTATTATTGTTATTATTGTTATTATTATTATTATTTCTGATACGTGAGCGGGTAGATGAGCCAGGAAATTTTCTTTTCTAGATTTCCGTATCGTCGTCATACTTTAACGTGATGATTCATGGTTGAAAGAGTACCACCATTGTGTATTGTTAAAGTTGAATTCTGATCGAGATGATCGAAGGAGAAGAACTACTACTGACTCGATCGTGAATGAAGGGATTGCTTTGATCAATTCCTTGACAATTATTTGATTCCATCGAACTCGTAGACCGGATCGCTCGAGAATCGATGTCTTTGTACTCTCTTCTGGGATCGGAAGTGGCATCACCAAGGAAACGTGGCGTCTAACTTTATTCTCTTTTTTTTCTTCTCGTATTTGACCGCACGAGAGAGAGTCGGGAGGGATGGGAGGGACGGACAACGAGGGACAGGGAGGGCTAGGGAGGTTTGGCCCTCGAGCATTGTACAGTCAGGATCTCTCAAGGTATCATTATTCGAACCCCATCCAACAAATGGACAGAGAGAGAGAAAGAGCGAGAGAGAGAGAGGGAGAGGGAGAGAGAGAGAGAGCCTCGAGCTCCGTAAAGCCATACGCCAAGAATGTTAAGTGTCGCAATCGTTCATTGTTCGGCGTTGCACGAAGGAGAAGCTCGACCATCTGCAGAGAACCGGGAACTCGCCGCAATTCTTCTCTCCCTAACCCTTTTTTTTATATTTTTGTTTTGTTTTGTTTTGTTTTGTTGTACTTTTTCTCTTTGTTTTTTTTTCTTTCTTTTTTTTTCTCTTTTTTTTCCTTTTTTTTTTTTTTTTTTTTTTTTTTTTCTTTTGCTCTTGCGCCAGATGTTCGATTCAGTATGGAACAGAAGCTTCGATAGGAAGAAGAAGAAGAATAGGTCATTTGTAAATTTAGTACAAAAGGGAAAATAATGAATTTTAGATATTAATTTCTAAAGTCCGTTCGATATTTCACTTTTGACTTTTGTTGGAAAGATGAGGGTCCGTTATTGTTTGATTTAATCGATCGATTCGTTTCTTATTTTATTTATTTATTTATATATTTTTCTTTTTTTTTTTCCGTACAAATTTGTTCGAGGATACTTGCAGAATGTTTACGAGCATTTTAATATTCGTGCTGTAGGATGTTCAAAGGAAAAGATTCTCAGAATGCAATTTCTTATTGATTTTTAATATCGATTGGATTCCTTGGTTTACTTGGTCTTTGTTAGTATAAAAAACAAAAGAAAAAAGAGAAGAAAAATTCAATTGTTTGTTTGTTTGTTTGTTTGTTTGTTTTTTTTTTTTTTAAGGGTACTTGCACGAAACGTTTCCAGCTTCTGGATATGTTTATTCTCAAGGACGTTAAATGTGCGAGATTCTCAGAATGCAATTTGTCGTCTTACTCAGTGACACCATTGCCATCTCTACCGCGAACTTTTGCGGTGACATAAGCCGATTTGGCGTCTGACTATTAAACGTCACGATGTGTCCTACGTACTTATGTACGTGTATGTATATACATACATACACGTATATATATACATACACATTGCGAATGCATTAGCACGTGCTCGCAATGTGAACATCGTAATCTCATACAGAGAGCCGATGGATCGAGGAAAGCATCATCTAAATATAATCATTACTTCTAAGAATCTCTTGTACTTATCTTGAATGAGAATTCATAAATTCCAATGATAAAAACGAGAAGGAACAGACGTATATGGATTTTTTTTCAAGTAAAAGGAAAAAGAAAGAATAGAAAAGAAAAGAAAAGAAAAAGGAAAAGAAAAAGAAAACAGAAAAGAAATAAAGCGACAAGGATTTGAATTTGGTTCATTCGAGATAGATCAAGGATAAATGGAGATAAAGAAAGAAAATTTATTGATTCATCCGGGATCAACCGGTTAGTGTGAATTCCCCGTACCAATACTCTTTCAACAGCACTTTCCCGTATTGCAACGGACGGGGACCACGTGCTGGTCTTTTGCTTTCACCTCGTGCTACACACGACCAATCCCCCAACGACATTCATGCTTGAGGAATTCAAGTAATCTCTACGAATCGACCTGAAGTTTGATCAATCGGTCAAACTTCCGATTCATTTTTAATTGATTCACTTTTAAAAGTATCTACATGATTATTACGAAACTTGTTGTTGTACGCGATTAGAAATCGACGATTATATGGCATTATACATAGATGGCATTTGAATCTATTCAACGCGTTTAAACTGATGCATTTAAACTCCTTCTAAATTAAAATCCAAGATGCATTCAAGAGCCAATCATTCGACTTAGCCTCGAGCACAATTTCAAGCTCGATGATGAATTAAACGCACGTCATTAAGCTCGATCTCTCGCGAAGTTCATCCGAGCAAAACCTCCGACTATTATATCTCTTTGAACGTACTTGGAAGGTAAACGAGAGGAATCGTCGAGCGTTACGTAATAAATGATTACGCGGCCGTTAGTTAAGCAACGAATTCCGGTTTGCAGTTACTTCTCAAATCAAGGATGTAACATCGTTTTATTCTTCTTGCTGGCCGGCCTGTCTGTGCATGTGTGTGTGTGTGTGTGTGTAAGTGAGTGTATGGTATCGACCATTTCAATCGGTTGGAATTATCACCAACTGACCTTGGCCAAGAAACGTTCCTCGTGGCAGAATGTTACGAGACAAGGTTGAAGTTGCAATCTTTCGATCTATCGATCAAACGAAATTTTCAATGGAAATTATCTGAACGCTATTTAGACGTCCATTGAGGAGTTTAAGAAGTTGATTGAATTTCTTTTTCTTTTTTCTTCTTTTTTTTTCTTTTTTTCTTTTTTTTTTTTTTTTTTCTTTTCTTTTTTCTTTCATTAATACCTTCGAATAAATTGCGAAAGATTTTAGATTGAAAATAAGAGAAATAGAGTGTTGGAATTTCAATCAAGTATCCATGAATGGCGCAAAGATCGAGAGAAGAGAAAAGATAACAGAGAGAGAAAAAGGAGGAGAGATTTCTACTATCGCCATTAGTTTTTTTATTTATCGTATCGACAATAACGCGTACGTCGCGACGTACGTTATTATCGTCGCAAGCAATAAACTCGTTATTATCAATGTTTCTTTCAACTATTCACAGGGGCTCTTGAATTAATGAAAGATCGAACTTAAAGTGTTAATTCTTTTTTTTTTTTTTTTTCATGTTACGTCACATACATCTCATTGCGGATCATTCTTGTCATGCCTGGATACGGATTCGTTTATCATCAACGTACGACTTCAGTTTGGGTGGATAAAATCTTTTTTTTTTTCTTCGTTCTCTTTCTTTTCTTTTTTCTCTCCTTTTTTGTTGTTCTTTTTCTATTCTTTTTCTTTTTTTTTTCTTAAATTGACTCGACGACCGAACTCCTTTCTTTCTTTTCTTTTTTTTTTTTTTTTTTTTTTCTTTTTTTTTCTTTTTTTTTTTAGTTCGAACGAGGGCTCTTCTCTCTAGGTTTCGTGGAAAAACGGGTAAACGGCATAGATAAGGGAGAACAGAGATAACGGCGAGACAGTGAGGATGCAGATAAACCGGGAAGAAGACCACTTTACGATTTTATTTATTTCAAATGGCGTTGCGACCGAACGGGGTTCTTTATCGCGACGGAAGCCAAAGCCCCAAGCTAATTCTTAGTACTAATTGGACGTAACGAGACGACATCGTAGAAAGGTTCGTGACGATTGAATCGAATCCAATCGAATCAAATCGAATCTAATCGAGTCGTATCGGATTGGATCGATCGATCGGTCGATCGTCCGATCGATCTCATGATTGATCAGATCGATTTCTTTTCGATCTTTCAAAATCGAGAACGATCTGGATTATTTCTTCTTTTTCTCTTGTTTTCTTTTTTTTTCTTGTTCTTTTTTTCTCTTTTTCTCGAATATATTTATTCGATGGAAAAAGAAGATCTCTTAGGATGTTTTAGATCTCTTTCTCGCTCTCTTTCTCTCTTCTTTTTGTAACGTGAAAATGTGTTTACTTAAGCTCTTTCACTCTTTTAAGAATCACAAGCTGAGAGTTCATTTTTGTGAGAGAGATCGAATGAAAGAACGAAAGAAGGAGACTTGGAGTCTCGCTTCGGTTGACTTATAATAAACCTATAATTATCCATGAAAGAACGTTGTAAGGGTCGTTTAGTATTCTTTAAATAGATTATCATAAGATGCTTACATATCCAATTGGCCGATAGCGTTATTAATTTTTCATTAATTAATAATTATAATCGTATAATTGTTGTGTACCCTTATATAAGATATATTTGTTCGGTTATAAATATTTCATTTGAAATTCTTTAAACAGATTAAATTAATTGTCGTTAATTAATATTATCGTTAATGAATATTATTAATCGAATATTATCAAATTTCATAATCGATATCGACTTAACAAAAGTATTGCAATTTAATATTACACACGATGAGGGAAGTATCCTTGGTTCTGGGCAAGGACCTCCGGATGAGTTGTATCCTGATTACGGGCCATTGTGATCCACGCTACAAGAACCTTTCATGTTGGAAAAAAGAGAGAGAGAGAGAGAGAGAAAGCCTTGACGAGATCGCTCGTATAGTAGTGTAGCCATGATGCGGGCTAGATACCACAACACGTGATAATTAACACGGTCGATGATTTATCATGTCCACCCTTTACTTTCGCTTCCTGGTATATGAATGAAGAAATAGAAAAAAATAAAAGTAAAAAAAAAAAAAACGAAAGAAAAACCCGCCAAAAATATATAGGAAAAGAAAGAGAAAGATATACCTATGGTCAAACTGTTTAAAAGAATTTCACTTGATTATATTCCCGAGATTATAGCAGTGCAATCTTATTTTTAATTATTTATAGTTGTTTGTAATCATTCTCAGGATTGCATGAAATATGTAATTAGGCATTGTCTGTTTTATTTTTATTTCTTTTTGTTTTCTTTCTCTTTCACTTTTCTCTCTCTCTCTCTCTCTCTCTCTCTCTCTCTCTCTCTCTCTTTCTCTCTCTTTTTCTTTTTCTTTTCATTTTTTTTCTTTTTTTTTTTTTCTTTCTTTCAAGATCCTTCGTGTCTTTGGGAATCGACCTTCACACGGAGTCATCGATGCGAAAATTTTTGTAAGAACGTTATTTATTATTAGATACGATTTTGAAATGGCGGGGGCGTGGGGTGGGAGGAGGGAGAGAGGGGGGGGGAAGTGTTGAACATTTCATGGAAACTTTGAAAAATAGCCAATTTCAAATGGGAAACGGAGAGTGGATTTGTGCAATAGAGTCGCGAGTTAAAACTCGCAGTCGAAGAAAAGCGGAAACACGGGCTACCGCGCCGGATGTCGTTGTGCGAGAGAGGGCAAGAGGGGAGCAGTGTGTGCTGTTGGACTACCTACTCTGGGGCTCAGGGATCAACAGCGGAACGAAACTTGCCGCACGCTTTCGTACCTGTCCTGGAATTATTAGTATGAGCAGACTTTTACATGAGATTGGATTACCTACCTCGAGATCTTGTGGTTTTTATAGGTTTTTTCTTTTCTTTTTTCTTTTTTTTTTCTTTCCTTTTCTTTTTTTTTTCTTTTTTTGTTTTGTTTAACATCGAGGGACAAAGGGCTAAGCGAATATCCCAAAGAAATATTTGTATTAATTGATGCATCAATTATTTTTAATATTTTTCTTTTATTATTATTATCATTATTATTATTATTATTATTATTATTATTATTATTATTATTATTATTATTATTATTATTATTATTATTATTATTATTATTATTAATATGAACCGTTTCACAGCTATAACGGTTCATTGTGAAGAAAGAGAAAAAGGTTACTGGACTACTTGCATTTTGTATGATACGTCTCAGCAATTAATCTAATCGTTGAAGATCGAGAAGAAGAAAAAGAGGATGGATATGAAAATAATAAAAATGCGAGAATGGACAAAACCATTGGATTGTAAGTTGGTTCGTCTTCTCTATCTTCTTATACTCCATTCGTTCAAAGACTGTAACTAATCGAGAAAGATCCTTCATGATCGCAGACACCTTTCTCTCTCTCTCTCTCTCTCTCTCTTTCTCTTTCTCGATGCACATGACGTTGCATTTATTGTCAGTGTTTATGATGGAACTTTGCGATCGGCATGACGAGACATTTTATTTTCGAGAAGGAAATTCGACAAAACAGGAACAGTTAGGTATGATCGCCATGACCCTATATATATATATATATATATCACGTAGAGTCGATTTATTATAGGGTATAGAGTGTAGTTTTGGATTTATTTCTTTTGGAAAAAGGAAAAAGAAATAAGAGGGAGAAAAGAAAATGCGCAAGAAGGAAGAAGTAGAAGAATAAGAAAAAAAAAAAATGTCTGAACAGCTTTCTCCTTGCATTTCCGGATAAAATCGTTGATTTCTATTTTGAATTTTTCTTAGCGAAACGAGATTCGAAAGGGACTCCTACGTCAAGTTTTACCACAGTAATAGTGGCCCAAGAGACAGAGAAAGAGAAAGAGATAGAATAAGAGCGATTAAGTGGATCCGCAAGGGTAAACGCAGCTCGTATAGTTTTTCACTTCTCATTGTGAGTTAGCCGCAATGTGCGACGCTCGGTATGCGGGGTTCTCACAGAGAATTCTTCGTTCAAGAGAGAGAGAGAGAGAGAGACAGAGAGAGAGAGAGAGAGAGAGAGAAAGAAAGAGACACAAAAAAGATGGAAGGTTTACTACGAGCTTGGGACGCTTGCTTTAAAACGAGGGAACTCGCTTTTAACACTTATATTCTCTTACCGACAGAAGGATCTCTTTTTATTTTTTTGTTTCTGTTTTTTAATTTTTCTTTTTGTCTTTTTCTCGTATTTTTGTTGTTTTTCTTTTCATACTTAGAGATCTTTTTTCGAGTACCCCAATCAGCTAACTTTACAATGTGAGATCTACTCATATAGATATTGACTTTGGAAAGTTTTGCGTGTCGTTCATTTCACACGTTTAATGACGAATTAAAATTTTTTGCACACGTTTCATAGATTGAAAAAACGTAAGCTTTATTATTATTATTATTATTATTATTATTATTATTATTATTATTATTAGCAAATATATTTGAACCGTTTGAATGAAATGTCAGAAGGAGAAGAAGAAGAAGAAGAAGAAGAAGAAAAAGCTTCGAAAACGCATGAATTTTTTTTTTGCGAGAGAATAAAAAAAAGAAGCAAAAGAAAAAGAGAATTTAGATAGTAAAGGTCATCACAAACGAAGTTAATAGCGAGTCTATCTAACGGAAGAAACGGTGCGTTTGCTCCGACCTTTGCGCAGTCGCGTGTGAAACGGGTCAGAGTGTAGCTTGTCTGAACAGAGTAAAAATTCTTTGTATTTACGCGTGATTATTAAAAGAAAAGAGGAGAGAGAGAGAGAGAGAGAGAGAGAGAGAGAGAGAGAGAGAGATGATTGCACGCGTAGAGAAGAGCAACAGAATAATGACTGGAGGAGTAGAGTCATATAATCCGACAATTATAATGATAATTATTAAGCCAAGAATACAGTGTTGCTACAGTCGAGTGCTAAAAATTACTCGGGACGGATATCCCTTAGATTCTTAGAAAGTATATATTTAATTTAATATAATAAATCATTGAAATGATGATTTCTTGGTGGTCTATTAGCTAAGCGACTGAATGAAAAATTTTATTTCCGTAAGCGTTAGAAAGAGAGAGAAAGTAATTCCATGTGTGTGTCTCGACAAGCAGATGTAAAAGAAAAATAAGCAGCAGTGGGTCCTTCTTAAACATCTTGCGTTAGGATGAAGGCCCTCAAGAGACTCATGTTTCTCTCTTCTCGCAAAAAGGGACGCGAAACCGCACGTCTTCTACTTGCAACGAATGGAAGAGAGAGGGAAAGAAAGGAGGAGATGAAGAAACATTTCGAAGATCGTCGTGAGAAGTTGTGGCTTTTCATTTGGAAGATTTCAGAGATGCATAAGTATGTATGTGCGCGCGCGAATGTAAGCTGTTGTTGTTGTTGTTGTTAATGCGTTCCCTCTCTCTCTCTCTCTATTAAACACGATAATGATAAAGAGTTGATAAACAAGTCGTTATCTTAGTGTTGTCTTTCGTCGAAGCTAAATTCATTGCTACTGAATTATTAGTTATATAGACGAGAATGATGTGAATTAAAAAGGCTAATCTTCTCAGTACATACATACATATAATATCGTCATTATCATCATTGTACAAGGACGCACGTGGTCGTCCACAGCTGTTAATAAAAGTATTATGAAAAATATTAAAACGTTTTACTCACGTCACGCTTGATATTATCATTTCGTTCTCGTTGTTCGTTTAATTAAGTCACTTTTTTTCTTTCTTTCTTTCTTTCTTTTTTCTTCGTTTTACAGTGAGAAATAGAGTAGCTTCCCACAGTTTTTTAAATGTTACAAAGTTTTTAGATTCAACGCATAATATACTTTAATTGTCATAAGTTTAGATCGTAAATTCATGATATTTGTTGGTATATCTCTTCTCACCTGTTGTGGTGCTGTATCAGCCGGAGAAAAACTCGAGAGAGCGGTCAAGGGTGCTAAAGATGCACAGGACGATGCTCTCGACGGTGGTGGCGTGTGACCAGGGGTTGGACTTCCGCTTCCGCAACTACTTGCACCCCCGCTCGAAGATAGACTCACGCTGTCTGCTCGCCCTCTCCATGGCGACACCGACACGTGTTTCAACATCTTTCTTTTATACACGATTTTACCTGAAATTTAATTTCCATTCTCATATCACGAATTTTATCATTATCTTATTACTTCCTATTGCAAGATTTCTATACGAATATATTATTTTGTTTGTTCGTTAATATTTAAGATTTTGATGTATCGTTGCTTTTCAGGTGTACAGTGAAAGCAGTAAGAATTGCGGATGGTTTAATAGCAAAAGACTATGATTCTTTCTTGAATTGAAATAATCGTTTTATCCTAGATACGTCGGAAATAATTAGGAGACAGGAAGTTGGGAATAGAAATTAGAAAGAGAGAGAAAGAGAGAGAGAGAGAGGGAGAGAGAGAGAAAGAGAGAGACATTGTCAATTTTGTATTTTTGCGTGGATAGGAACTAGTGAATTACAATTGTCGAAGATCTTAAAATGACTCGTAACTTTGCTTAAAAATACAATCCATCGAATTTGCAGCCACTCAAAGTTGTTGTACAGAAGAAATTGAGTTAGGATATACGGTAATTACCGGAGGAATGTCGTGATTGCGAGTGAAAAGAAAAAGGTGTCGAGGGGAATGACTTTGAACGCGTTTGTATGTGTGTATGTTGTATAGATATATATATATATATATGTATAATTTGAAGTCCAAGTGAAATCAGAGTGTTGTCTGGTACCTCCGGATGTTCATGCGTGTCAAGAAAATTAAAAAAGATATGATCGAAGAAGTTCGAATAAAAAAACTGTTTAATAACACACACGAGAATCTTATTAATTGCTTATTCTTTTCGTACATAAGTATTTTGCTTCTAATTCAAACGAAAGTTTTGAATGAAATTGAAAATGCTAAAAGAATTCCGACTGACAAAACTAGTATTCTTATCTTTAATCAAAAAGAGAGAGAGATAGAAAGAGAAAGAGAGAAAGAGAGATAAAGGATGTTCCGATAAATTATATCAAAACTTTATAAAGAGGTTGTAGTATTAATACTCACTTTTACAAATATATATCGTCGTGTTTAAACGAACGGAGGGACAAGAAATAAATTAGAAATTCTTCCCTTTCAACAATGAAGAATCATTTTAAATTAATCATCGAGCCAAGTTCACAATCCAATCGAATTAGAATTAACGAAGCAATCGAATGATAAGAACACAAACAAGCACTGAGACGATAATCATATCACGTGTCACAAAATTCACGAATTCCTTCAAGCGTTACCTCTCTTTTTTCTATTTCCTTTTTAACACGTAGAAATGAAAACGATTGTTAGACCGAACATATTTTTTTTTCGAAATAAAAAATGAAAGAGAAATTGATAGAGCGAGAGCGAGATATATGCATATATATATATACATATATGTGTGTATATATATATATATATAAAGCGACACAGAAAGCGAGTGAGAAAAAGAGAGAGAGA